ATTTACTTGCAGTATTTATTTAACAATATTTATATGAGCTGATTATTCTTCTAATTGAATATTCTTGGAGTTAAATTAATAAATTCATCAAATTTAACTATGTGAAAGTGATTCGAATTTAAAGCTGAATGCTTGCTGTGCCGTCAAAGAACTTAAAATATCATGGCAATCAATTAAATTATATATAAAGATTGTGCAAAGCTATGCGGAAATCTAGTTGTATGCTTATTTGATTTACAATTAAGCTTAGGCACTGCTTTTATTCTTTTGAACTACAATGATTTACAATTCAATGCAGTCAAAAGTTTTAATACGGCCAAGCATTTCGTATTAAAACTAATTACACGACCAGATACACAAACACACCCATGCAAATGCACATTCAAACAGTGGCTGTGTAATGGAATCAGTAAAATTGCATGTTTGTTTTGATATAAATGATGCATAGCATGCAAATACATAAGCGCATAGTTTGGCCTGTTAAATCAAATTACCTTTCCGGCTACGCTTTTTTGACTGCCACAAAAGCAACGAAATTGAATACTTTCGCTAAATGAATATCCTACACCCGATACGGGATATACGATTCGCCCACGCATAATGCTCAATGACTTCATAAATCCAATAAATTAATAAACTTTTGAAATACGCTGAGGTCATTGTGAGTTGGTGCCGCCAACATTGGCGTCGTTGCCGATACGGGTTGTGTGCTGGGAGCAGATCCACATTTCCAATGGCCATAACCATGCTCAGCCTGCGCTCCAACCCATTCGAAACGCGCCCAATTCAACAACTCTGCCAGGGCACATTAATCATTGAATTTTTGGTGGCCAACTCCCCAGAGAGATCTGGGACGTGGGGTTTGCCGCTCGCAGCGTAGAGCTCGGCGTGAATAAAACGCAAACAAAATTGACTTATTGCCGGTCAAACACCTTTTCAAAATGTGTATGTATACACAGTGGGTGGACCGCAAATAAAATACTTATGAAAAACTTTTGCCGTTTTGCCCACCCAACGGGGCAAAAAATGAAAACCGCCAAGCATATTTAAATTACAGCAAAATGCAGGCAGATGATAACTTTGGCTTAAAGCCTGCCTCCAGCACACGCCGCCAGGACCATGCCACAAATTTTATATAATGGGTAAGGGTATAATAACTGTATCGTAATGCTTGCAACGCATAAAAAACTTTAAAGGAAGAAGGAATCCATGCCGATATCTAGGCCCTAATTTAGACAAACTTCTATTGGCATCAAGATTTTTAATCAGGGACCTCAGCAACTATAGTTTGATCTTCTCGAAAGTAAACATCACTGAGAATTCTTTTATATCATTCTCGCCTGCAGGGTCTTTCAGGCGTCGGTGTTGATTTTGATGAATTGCTTGGCGCACGTAGCTGCCACCTTGAGTGGCATATAATGAAAATTTGTGCAACTGTAGCGTAACTTAAATTAGACATTTTATTTTGCGTATTTTAATGTCAGGCGCATGTCTCTACGCGGGATCGGACCAGGGGGAGTCTTGTAGGGTCGGGTCAGCAGTAGCTTGTTTACCTTATCACGAAATTCATAAATTTAAAGTAACTTTAACGCGTATTCAAGTTGGCTTGTTTGTCTTGGCCAGCGAGCCCTTCGCACTTTGCTCGGCGTTCGCCGTCTGCCTTCACAATATTTCTCCAGTTTGTGCAATAAATTTGTTTATTTGTATGAGACTGTTGTTGTTGGTGTTTTTGTTGGTGCGCCCTTTTTGTATTCGGTGTTTTCTTTTTTTTTTTTTTTGGTTTTCCTCTGGCTAAACATATTTCCCTGCAGCCAGGCGAGTGTCACATACCGAAACCTAAAGCCGTAAGCTGGAGCGCTGCGAGGCTGCGGCAATCGCCTCTCGACCGGCATCCTGTGCCGTTCCGTTCTGTTCAGTCCTGCGGTTGTTGCGCCTAAAAGTAGTCAAATTGTGCGGACTAATAAATTTTGTTGGCTGTTGTTGTGGCACTTGTTTCGCTCGCTTTTTGCCCACTCGCCGTCGCCGGCATCCACTCAATTTGCGCTGCTGCTGCCCAGCGGCAATTGCTTATTGTTGTTGCTGTTGTTGTTATTATTATTGCTTTTGTTGCTGCTATTCATACGGCAAGCATCGCACATCCTGTGCTCTGGCTCACCTTGTTGCTCCAGCAGCACGTCTGTGCCCGGCTCCCTTCAACCTCCTCCATACACAACGCATGCCACAAGCTTTTACCTTTTTGAAATGACATTCATTGGCTTTTACGTGTTTATTTGGAATTTCATTAAAAATGATTAGAAGCTGTTTTGTTTTTTCGTGGGTTTTGTGGGCTGTGCTTCTTTTATGTGGCCCACTTCCATAAGGGCGACAAGAGAAGTAACACAGAGACAGCGAGCGAGCGAGAAAGAGCTCTCGAAACTGTGTCTGTCTGTCTGTCCTTCTGTCAGTATATAATGGCGCTTTCATGCTTGTGAATTTTATTTGAAAATTTTCTTGCTTTTGGGTTTTTTGGGCGGTTGTCGCTGTCGTTGCCGCTGTTTTGTTTTTCTATCTATTTTTTTTTTTTTTGTTTTTGGCCAGTATTTTAAATTGGTGCATACTTGTTGGCTTTGTTTGGCTGCAGGCGCGCCTTTTGGGTGGCGTGTCTGTTGTCTGGCCATAAATTTTTAATAGATAATATGCGCCAGGCATGTGAATTGGGCTATGCTGGACTCGTAAAGCTTTTAATCGCCGCTTATTGTTATGTAGATTGTTCTGCTAATACCGTTGCCACGATGGCGAGCCAACTGCAGCTATTGTTAGCTGCTATTGACATAGCGCATAATAGCTCTCCGCTGTGTGTGTGTGCGCGCGCACGTGTGTGTCTGTGTGTGGGGGGGTATTTGGTCACCTGCGTATGCACGCTTCTGTCCAGTTCTATTTATAACTGTTATGCATAAATTAGCAATGGCGAAGTCAGGGAGATTAGTGTAAATAAATTTCTCGGAAAGCGATGAGCTGTGCAGGTTACGCGTGGGCAGGTTACGTGTGTAAGCATTTGCTCTTCTCTGTTTTTGTATCTTGACAATTTCAGCTTAAATCCAACTGTCGCCTCATTAAGGAGTTGCATAAATTTGGCTGCAAAGTATGCTACAGTTTTGAGCTCAATGCATGCGCCCACTTAACGCGTCTGTTGCGCAAATTTTCGATTGTTGAGTCGGCACTTCATATGCAAAACTGCACACGGTCTGGCTGATGTGCTGCTCCTGCTGCTGCTGATGCTGCTGCAACAACTGTGTTGCTGAAAATCTAGTATTTGTTGTTTTTGGCTTTTTAGCTACGCTGGCAGCGCTGCAAAGTTTGAAGCGCACTTGGCAAGACATGAATGCGTAATAACCAAAAGCGGAAGCAAACAACCATAAAGCCAAGGCAGCCGCCACGCACTCACTCGCAGAGTCCAGAGACGAGACTCAGGGCCACAGTCAGAGCCACACAGAATAAAATGAGAGTGAGTCGCAACACAGCAATGGATGGCAGCACATATGCATCAAAAGAGCTAGAAAAACAACAGCAAACAATGCAAATGTATTTAGCATAATGAGACAGGAGAAATGTGCAAAAATGCAAACATTTGCGGGCATTGGATGGGCATGGCCGTGGCAACAGTTGGGGCAGCGGCAGAGGCAGCAGCCATCTCACACTCGAATGTGTGAATGTTGCTTGCAAATGGCAACAAAATTTCTCTTTTCTTTCTGTGTGTGCGTGTGTGTGTGCGTGTGTGTGTGTGCGTGTGTGTGTGTGTGTGTGTGTGTACATTAGTGTGCGCGTTGGGTTTCAAAATGAAAGTCATATGCTAACTCATAACTCAACTTGTTGTTGCTGCCAGTTCCCATGGCCGTGCCCAGGCGCAAGTTATTTCATTTGGTATTTCAAGTTTGTTGGCATTTGAATGAAGTCATTATGAAAGCGGTAGCAGGCAACCTGCCTACAGTCACAGTCACTGGCAACAACTAAATTCCAATTTTTTTTTCGTACTAGCTCTTAGGAATGCGCTGCTTTTTGTGCTCTTTATTGCCAGAGTCGAAGCAAGCGCCTCTAAATAAGCATTGACACACACACACACACTCACACACACACACGCACACACACACACACGCACACACACACACACAGCTACACGCAAACACACCTGAAACAGAATGTAATTAAAGTTGAGTTGCAAACTTTTGCTTTTATTTTTATTAACTTTACTTATTTATTTATTTTTTGACTCTTCTGAGCTTGGTTGTGTATGGGTCTGTGTATGTTTGCATTTGTAAGTGGGTGTGCAATGTACAGACCCGGCGACTTTAAAAGCACTTTCAACGGCTTGAACTTGGCACAGGCTTACGCACAAACCCATTAAAGCAGCTTAAGAACTTTTTTCTCGCACACGCAACCTGAAAAGTATGCAATGGAAACAAGGCTTCTCCGCCTGCGATACTTGCGATGCCAGCGTTGCCAGCGTTGCCAGCGCTGCCTTCTTGTACTTGCATACATATAAGAAAAGTTTTACCGCAGAGCCAGACAAACAGACAACGTGCGACTAACAAATGCTGATGTGTGTGGTAGGGGCCATGTTCAGGGAGGCTCTGTGCTGTTAACCGGGCTGTGGGGAAGGCTCGGCTGCTGGGTGCGACATTAAGCTTCGTGCGTGCAAATACCATGAATCTGTTGGCATGTAAAACACTTTTGCTACGCCCAAAGCCGGCACAAAACCAGAAGGGAGATGAAAAAATTTTGTTGCAGCAATTTGTCAGACAGTTTGTTCAGTATTTCTTCTTGTATTTTTTTCATATTCTTCTTCTTTTAGCTGTTTCTGTTGCTGCAGCAACCGACTTAAGTCGCATTTGAAAGTTGGTAAAAGTCATGCGCTGAGGGAGCAAAGTAATTGCGCTTATTTGTGCTGCAATTATACAAATCAAACAAATTTTTCAAGAAATCGGAAAAAAAATAAAAACAAACATGAAATACGTGTTAAATAAATAAAAAGTATTCCATGTGTGTGTTTTTTATATAAAAAATATTTGTTCAGGCGATGCAATCACAGTTACTAAAGCTATGGGCTACAGTCCGGGTGCCATTTAATTTATGCGCCGCATCGAAATTTATCACTGGGCGAGCATCTTAATGGTTCATTAAATTCATTATTCGGACGACTGCAAAAAAAAAAAAAAATATGAAAAAACAGGCGAACAAAAAATATATAAATAAAACCAACAAACAAATGAAAGAAAATAATGCACACACAAATAAACTGGTATTTGTGCGCACATGTGTGTGCTCTTTGCGTAACACGTATTTCCTTGCGTCTGGCGCATTTTAATGAGTTTTTGCTTTACGTTAATTTATTTTCATTTGAATTCTTTTGCAAAATGGCTTCAAGGCGCGCACAAAAATGCAATTATGCATTCATTAAAGAAATTAATTGCAAACAATGTTCCGACAAAGAGCAATTCGCATGCGTGGCAATTCGCATTATTGAAAATTCGACAAATAGTAACCTGCAGCCAAAAAGTAAAGCAACAAGCTGGCAGTATCTTAGCCCGTTTCCCCTGCATCTGCGTGTGCCCCTGACCCGATTGTGTGCTGGCAGCCTTGTTGCGTCTTAAGTAGAACATTACCAAGGCTTTTATCGTAAATGCCAACATCTTTTGCTTGTAATTTTCTGTTACGTTCGCAACATTCTCACATCACATTCGCATTCACATTCTCATTCAAATAATAATGGCTGCCTTTTACGTAGTTGTGCAATGATTACGTGATGCCTGTACAAAAGCACACATATTCCCATTAGATATGAGATTTCAGTTGTTTCTGCTGGCTCTGGCTGCCCTCCTGCCATACTCTAATGTTGATGCGTGCATTTGGCTTTAACTTGAATGTCATACATTTTGACTCAAATTCACATTCATACTTACGTACCCGTACACGCCCACGCACACGTTTGTTGCGTTATAACAATGCAATGGTCTTCATTCAGACATTCTTTTTCAGGTTTTTATACCCTGTGCTCATAAAATGGCTAAAAAGGCGTTTAAAGGGAAAGCATCTGAGATCCTTTGATGCATCGACTTTTTTTTTTTGCGTTTAACTTAAACTGTTTATACGCAAGTTCCTTGCTACCATATGCAGCATTATTTTTTTTATAATCTAATTATTTTAAATACATATGTGAATGCAAATATACTGTTATTCAGTTGAGACTTGAGCCTGGCTAAACGGTGTCTCCCAGTCGGGTATTTGCAACTCCCTCGTTTGGTTTCGAAGTGAGCAACAGCGACTGGAAAATAACAAACATTATACCGAAACAAGCGTATGATTGCGTAATAGAGTGTACTTAGGTTGTTGCATAGCTCGACGAAACTCCAAAGTTAGTAAGCAATGTCAAATACTTATATATAATAAACCTCCAGAGATGCAACTATAGAGCTCTAAGAATGGGCACTCAGTTCGCACACAACTGGCATTTAAGCTATGCAAATTTAATATGTAATTTGATTAACTTATGTTTTAGATTAAGCCATAAATTAAAATAACAAAAATTCTGTGATGGCATTACGTGCGACTGCCGAAAATTCAATTTATACAATAATAGATAGCAATCTGTATTATTGCAGTTTTTGATTAGTTAATGGCTCATGGCCAGTCAATAATCCAAACAATTTGTCTAAAAGGGTAAGCGACTATTCTATAACAATTTCTCAGAACTGACTATCTCAGCGACGTATTTGTGCCTGGTGAGTGCTACATGAAGCATATTATTACGTATACGGAACATTGCGCATTAGTCGTGCATTAGTCAGCCGTATGATTGTGTCTGAGCTAGCGTCGCCGCCACTCTTGATCCAACTGTTCTAATAAAACAATAAAATGTGCCACCGACTGTCACTGCCAGAGCTGCAGTTGCGGGCTGACGGCTGTTGCCACATCACAATCTCCTGCTGCTGCTGGTGTTGCGTATGTTGTTGATGACGATGATGAGTTTTGAATGCGTAACTGAAGCTGCAGTTGAAGCTTCTGCCATATGAGCAATACTTGTTTCTTCTTAGCACACACACCTAACACAACTGAGACACCCACACACACACACACACATGTAGCTCCATACATGTTCGACCAGCGTCTTTGTGTTAGCTGAGGGCATCTTCAGCTGCTTTGCTGGTTCGTTGAACGCATTTCTCATTTTCATGTCCATTTCAGCAAATCTATGCGAGTCACATTCATTTGAATGTATTTGTCAACGACAAAGCAACCGAAACAACAGAGCAGCAATATTAAACCGACAGAAGCAGCAGCTAGCAGTAACGAGCATGACAAACAACCAACCAAATTAAAAGCAAAACGAGTTAGAAATGCTTTAGCCAAATGTACTCAACTAGAAGATACCTTATATTCAGGTCTAATGTTAAGGAGATCAAGATAGTCACAAAAGACTCTCGATCTCTCTTAGTCTGGCTAGCTTGTCGCGATCGAGCTGAAGCTGCTCAAGCATACGTTTTCTAAGTAGAATTGTCGATGCCAACTCTAGTTTACGGGCTGATCATACCCCAGCTAACCCAAATCAGTGGTGCAGGGTATAAAAAAAACGACATGTTGCAAATATCTTAGGGGTATACTTAGTGCCTGATTTTTGTAGTGCGCTGCCTTTTGTCTCTGTTTGGCCAACGACAAGCTGCGCTTAAGTGGACAGTAAGCTCTTCTGTACCCGCGTGTGCATGGCAGGGCTTGCAGCTGTGTGCGCCTGCTTTGTGGCTTTTGAATTTGCAGCTAGTACCAGAATTCGTCTGATATGATATGCGAGCTACTGCTGCTGCTGTTGTTGTTGTTTTACAAAGCGACCGTGCTGGTTGTATTGTTGTTTTTGGTGTTATTAGTGATGTTATTTCAAGTTGTTGTTGTTATAAAAGTTGTTGTCTCGGCTAGGCGCTGCTGTTGCAGCGCGAGACCATAATAGTTTAGTAAGCTCTCTCTAGGGTATTCAACTGCATGAGATGACGTCTTTATTTCCCAAGGCAATCTTTTGCGACGAGTGTTTGTACACTTGTGTTTGCATCTCTCCCTCGTCTCTCTCTTTCTTTCTCTCTCCCTCTCTATCTCTACTCTGTACGGTGGTATTTGTGCAAGTGAGGACAAAAGTTTCGTTGGCTTTGCAGCGGCAACAAACAAACACAGCCATGCAGGCCGCCTGCTGAGTCCTATGCGTCGCTTACAGAGCCGAAAACAACAAAAGTATGCGCCGACAACGTTAACAACAGCGGCAGGTTGTTGATTTTGGTACTCGAATTCAAAACTTCTGAAACAATGTTGAAGCCGGCTGACTTAAAGAGCACTGAAGCAGCCAGCGGCAGGGCTTTGCATGTTGGAGCATCGTTAGGACAACGCTAAGTGCTACGATGTCGTTGTGCTGCATTCACTGATTTAACCTAGCTTTGAGCTTAGCTTAAAAATCGCTTGCCCCGCTGAAGGATGCCCAGAATATTGCAATCAGCAATTTGAAATCGGTATGCAGATGTATAGAAATATGAAAGCATTATGCAATTGCAAAATTAAAGAGGATTGAACAAATTTAGGCAATTGTTCTCGCACACAAATAAAATTTAAGTTTAAGCTTATTACGATTAATTTGATAACACTTGAATTGATCATGCAATACCTTGTTAAAAGCATGCTATGCTCCATAAGTTGCATGCTGAGTGCAGTATTTCGCTTGCAATTAAACTGGTTTATGTATGCATGCAAAAGCAAACAACTAGTTAATGATTCAACACTTATGTGTTGAACTAAGTACTTGAGCCATAGTTATAGTTCTTTTATTAGGGGAATTCTCTGTCAGTGCCCTATCGAAAGTTGTTAAGCGCTGCGCTGTGCTGTGCTGTTTCGCTATTGGCAATCTGGCAATCTGGCAATGTGGGAACAGGCAACTGGTCTGGTTTTTGCGTTCTGTTTTCTGCTTTTGCATGATTGTTTATCTTTAAACTTGACTCGGCTGGCTCCGCAGACTGTTAACGCTCAAGCTCGCTCCCCAGCGAGCGACTTGGGGCTGCACTTTAACTTTCAGTGGGCAATGGCAGCGGACTCTCAGTTGTTTAAGTAGCTGCAATGGCAATGTAAAGCGTGCTACTTCACAGCAACTTTTATGGTCATCCAAAAAGTATGACAACTCAGGCTATTGCTCTTGTTGTTCTGATGCCACGCAGAGCAGACCAAGCGAACGCACACAAGAGTCATACAAACGCACACACACACAAAGAGGGGTACATACACACATGTGGCATAATATGAACTGCTGCTGCTTCTACTGCTTCTCGCAGTACCGTACTTATTTATATACTTATAGTTTACGGCGCTGCGGGACATATTGTGCTCGAATATATATTTTTGTTCTAATGAAAAAGTTATGACCATCAAATAAAGTATGCTGCTTGCTGTTTGCCGTTTGCTGCTTTCTGCTTGCCACCAACAACAAAAAACCCAGCTCAAAAGTGAAGCAGCAGCAGCAGCAACAGCTACGCCATTAAGTGACCGACCGTAAGACCTGCACTTGTTGTTGTTGTTGCTTTTGTTGTTGTTATTGTCGCTGGTTGTTGGTGACCTCGTCGAAAGTTGACTCTATTGTGCTTCCTGTTTATGCTACGCGTTCCCATTGTTGTTGTTGTTGCTGCTTTTTGTCTTGTGCGGATTGCTTGATATTGTTGTATTTGTTGTTTGTTGTTGTTGTTATTATCTTTTGCCTTACGCTGGCTATTGCTTTTGTGGTTCTCATTGCCCGGCTATTGTTGCGACCGCCTGCTCTTGTCTCTGTTGTTGTTGTTGTTGTTGTTGTTGTTGTTGTTGTTGTTATTATGGTCCCATTCGTAGTTCGTTTAATTCAGTTTTCATATATGTATACACATGCTTGTATGTGCATATAGAAGTACGCTGGCGAAACCTTTTGCCCACTGGGCGTATACTTTATCATACAATATTGTTTCGTTTTTATTACATGTCACTCATACGTGAACGACTCTAGTGTGTGTGTGTGTGTGTTTGTCTGTGTGTGTTTGTGTTTGGCGGAGCGTGTAAAGTGCGTTCTTTGGTTTTATATGAATTTTTTAGAGTCTTTTATGCACTCAGCACGAAAATTTGTTCGCCAAGAGTTTTACCACAACAACAGCAACAAACAACAGCCACAAATTTCTTTTGCCACGTGCGTCGGTTGCTGAACTGAAAAGCTGCAAAGATTCTTCCAACGTTCTAATTTGGTTTCTCGGAACATACATAGACATCTACATACATATATGAGCTTTATAAGGCAACTAACTACCCAAGTACATGCACACATATTTATATATAAATATATATATACTTTACCCTGCTTGTTTATGTGCCGCTATTCATATATTTTTTAACGAGTATTACCATAAAATTACATATGCAAATATACATTTTCTAAACTGAAGCTACAGTCGGGTAATCAGGATGTTAGGCAGCCTGGCAACTAGGCAGAGATTTAGCTATTTGTCTGCCATGCGTACAAAATCTTCAGGCTGAGCACGTAATACGTGACAATTACTACATTTTAGGTAAAACATGCTCATTAAATCATTTGAGCTTAATACCTTGGCAAAGGCAACTGCAGCAGCAGCAACAACCACAGCTCAGGTAAAGGCAACGTTAAAATGCAAAATCTGCGTACACTAACTAGACTCGACGAGCTATTGTTATGTTTTAGTCGCTCTATGCCGACAATGAAGATGGCGCTTTTGCCCATTGTATAAGCTACCTAAGAGCATGTGAAACTCGAAGTATTTGTCAGCAGTAGGCTAAGCCATAGTTACAGTAGAGCCGGCCAGGCCAAACCAACTAGTCTCGTTCTATATGTACATACGTGTACGTAGTATAAACAATGCCGAGCTGGCGAGCTGGCGACCTGGCAAGCTGCAGGCTGATAACAATATACCGCCCTCCGCAAAAGGATTTAACGAGACGTGCTGACGAGGTCGTGAACAACAGCTCTGATGAGTGGTGATGGAGCCAGCAGGAGTGCAACAACTAAACGCTACAGCAGCTAAGGAATTTAGACCAACAAAGCCGACGGGCTGGTTGGCTGGTTGGCTGCCATGGCTGGCATGGCTGGCAAATGAACAGCCAACGCAGGTCGCCTGCTTGCCGCTACACAGCCAGGAAGTGTAGCATCAGCGACAGTATCCTGTAGTGTCCTTTTGGCGCACTTTGCTTGACGTTTAGCTGGCCCAAGTGGTGCACACCGCCGCCGTTGTCACCCTGCAGCACGTGCTGCTCACTTGAAAGCGTTGCCTACCTACATTACTTATTATGATTATTATTATTTAATGCAACAACAGCATAGACACAGACAACACTATAGTCAGTGCAGCAACAGTTTTTAGCATAAGTACAGCCAGTGTTGAGCACGTGACAGTCCGCTCACGACGCCTAATATCTTTCTAATGTGTGAACACCTGCTCTAGACCAGGGTATCATAGGCTCAGCTCCTAATAAAATTTTTAATATTATTTTTAAGGCGATTTAATCCATTGTGGATGAGTAAACGACTAGGCAGAATTGTGTAGGTATTAACATTTATTAAACTCTCACGATATGGTCACGTTGGCATCTGCTCTTTGATGGTGGTTTGGTCTCTCAGCCTCGTTTGTAGCATGCTGTCCATGGCGCGTCGTTCGCATTGTTTTGTGTTCTTTGTTTGGTTCACCTAGGCGGCTGCTCTTGTGGCCACTGGCCTGGCCGCTCCTTGGCTTGTTATTCTTTTGTTGCATGCACTTTTCGCAGTATTTCGTAATATTTGTTAAGTATGCTTTTGAAATTGTGGTCTTCCACCATTATGTCATTCATTCAAGTCGAGCGACAACAACGTAGACAACAAAAGCGCTGCAACAATAACCAAGTTGATGACCGAATCGCAGAGTTCTACTTCTGCTACAGCTACCAGCAATAGTTGTAGTTGTAGTTTTAGTTGTTCTTGTAGTGGTTGTCTGTATTGTTATTGTTGCTGTTGCTGTTGCTGATGTCGTTAGACTCGTTATTGAAAGAGATAAAGAGCGGTTACTTAGGCGCACGCCAGTTTTATTGTTGTGGATGTTGATGCTGCTGCTGCTTCTGTATGAACTGGGGCTAGTGCTCTTCCTCTTATTTGTAGTTGCCGTCAGTGTAATAATGTAACATAAATATTACTAATTTCATGAAATTTATTTAACTGTAGTTAAATTTAGTGCAGTTAGACGCTGCAGTATTCTGTGCACACATTGC